TTAACACCCCCAATCAGTACCCACCCGAAAACAGTATTTAACGCGGACGGTTTCTCGAGCCCACCTTTCCTGAAGCCGGATGTCACGATTTGTCCGTAAACATCAGCACCCAACAAGACATCCACTTGTTGTGGCTTACCGAATTCCGGGTCAGCTAATTTCAAATTACGTATGTGACGAAATTGTCGCAAACGATCCTGTGACACTGCCCTTGTGGGAACGTCACCACAAATTTGAGGCACAACGACCATTTCAGCTTTCAATGAAAAGTTACGCACTAAATGTGACCTCACTTCGCATTTCAATACACCCGACGTACTGCTTGACGACATTTGATTCAAGCCTTGAATTGGTACCACCGCGTTAGTTTGAGGGAGCCCTAAAACCTTTGCACACCGCTCTGTGACAAAGGTGGCCTCGCTCGCAGTATCCAAAAGCGCCCTAAATGCGCGATATTTACCTCGCGAATCCACCACAATTATTCGCGCGGTCGCCAACAAAGTGAAACTATGGGTCGCGATCGCGTTAGTCATTAGTGTCATTACTTTGACCCCGTCGTCGACCGATGGGTCCCCAAAGATCCCTGACACCTCTTCCGGCTCGGCGCTAGGTTTGGGGACAAAATGTAACAACGTGTGATGTCTACAATCACAAACCCGGCAGTTTAATTTAGATGGGCATTTGCTAACCGAATGCACCCTCGACAAACAATTGTAACACAGATTTTTCTTACGCGCGAAAGTATGTCTATCCCGTGGTTCCATTTCTAAGAAAGCATCGCATTTCGTTAATGGGTGCTCATCCGAACAATTAAGACATTGTTCCTTGTTGATTGGTGATCGCGTGACAAACGATGACGTCACGGGACGCTTGGCAGGTACGGAAGATGCAGCTGTGGGTTTACGAAGGGCGGATGCGGAATTATGACCCATTGTCATAACGGAAGTTTCCAACGCGGTACAATGTTTAAGCAAAAATTCTTGGGGGTCATTGTAAGCAGGTACGGAATTTCCTACAATACTCAACTCAAATTTCTGTTTCCACGTGGTGTCCAGTTTTTGCAACATTAAATTTAATAACGTGAAGTCCCACAAATCGACTTCATCGTACTGCTTCAACGCGGCCAAATTTTCAGAAAACACGTTTAACAAATTTCGCAACAAATTCGGCGAATCTCCATTCACTTTGGGTGCACTATAGATCGCTTGCCAATAATTTGTCAATAATACGCGCTTATTGTTATAACGCGCCACCAGCGCATCGAATGCGATAGCATAATTTGCCGCCGAAATCGGCAAATTTTTGATGACGGTAGACGCCTCGCGAGACAATGACGTCGACAAATATTGAAATTTTTCAATTGCGCTAAGATTTGGGTTATTGTGGATAAGCGACCGAAACAAATCATAAAATGTGGGCCAGTTTTTGATCTGACCGTCAAACGTCGGAATTTGAATTTTGGGCAATTTGACGTTGTTTGATGTTAAATTGCCCCTGGGTGCGGATGACTGCGCGGCCTCGCGATTTAATTCCGCTGCAACCGATTTAATTGAATACTGCATATCGTCAAATCTTGATTGCACCTCGTATTGTTCGTCTAGCTCCTCAGGGGTGGTGCATAATTCGACAATTTGCAACTGTCGCTGCTCAAACTGGGCAACAATATGGTTTAAGTCCGCAGCTCGAATAAAAAACTCTCCTCGTACAGTTTCGTGGACTCTGGCTTGTTGCGATAGATTCACTAAAGCCTCCACGCGTTTGATCAAACTAGCGCGTCCATTACTTAGCGCGGCAACGGTAGCCATTATGTAAACTCGAATTTACGTATTCCGATAATTTAAAATCAATTGAAAATGCGTGCTAATCACGCTTAGCAAAACCACAACAAATTTGTGCTGGAATCTACAAATCTCTCGTAATTACCCTAAATCCGGCTCGAAGGACCATATGTTGGACGTAAAGGCTTTGAAAACACCTTTTTTTCGCGGCGATTTTACAATTCCAAAAAAATAATATTAAAATTTGGATCGAAGCTGACAAACGCATCAAAAGGTCACCTACCTTGTTTTGTTCAGCCTCCTGGGTTGAGGGTTTGTAGACCGCATGCACAAAGGAACCACGTGTCTAAGTTTCGCGACAACAATTCGCGATTTACGTCACACAAGATGGCAACTGCGTTCACTTAACGCCCACCTTAGCGATGTTACCTCTCTGAGGGTTTCTCGATAACTCTCTTCGATAACAGCGCCAACCCCAAGTACCGGGCCCTTTTGCTCGGTACTATGGCGCCTCTAGTGGAAAGTGACCAAAATACACTTGTCAGCAATCCGCGGGAAAACAAACAAAATCAAAACAAAATATTAACAAACTTCGAACCGGAACAATCAGTCTGTTCTTGCAATTTATCATTCCATTCATATTTTTCGGATTTGCATATACAGGCTGACTCAAAAAAATTAATGAATGCGTAAATGTATTTTATTGATTTAAACAGGAACTACAAAACCCAATGCTTTAAAATCTTGGAGATGTTTTAAAGTTATCATAGGCACGGTAAATTTTTGATCAAAATGCAAAATGTATTTGCTCATCCCCCTAAAAAATTGATGACGTCGCCCCAAAGTTTTGCTGAATAAATCCTATCTAAAATGTACAAAGTATAATGAGTGTACCTATACTTGTGATCTAACACTGCATTAATATTTTTTAGATTTGCTTATACGGGGTGTCTGAAAAAAATTAATGGCTGGGCCAATTTATTTTATTGATTAATTCAAGAATTGCAAAACTGAATATGTACTTTGAAATCTTGATGTTGCGAAGTTATTGTAAGTATGTTAAGTTTTTTATCAAACTATATCTGGTTATCAACCCGAAAAATTTGACCACGTCATTTCAAAATTTTGCGGAATAAATTCTTTCGAAAATGTGGAAAATATGATAAAACTACATATACTTGTAACTTATCATTGCATTCATATTTTTTAGATTTGCTTATACAGGATGACCAAAAAAAATTAATGAATCAGTCAATTTATTAAAGAAAGTGAAACTAGAAGCGAGGGAAGTTCTGTCGAAATAACTTTCGCCCAATTTTTCTTTTTTAATGGCGGAATGCGTTCAAACGCAATGTGGTGAATCCCAAGTTTGGAGAAGTTAACTTAAATCGAAATGCAAATATGGAGGGTAAATCAATTATTCCTCCTCTCCTTCCTGGAGAGGGAAAAAACTTTTCAACTTTCCAAAGTCAAATGTCACAAATCTATATAAATATTTGACTATCACAAGTTTAAACCCAGAAAGAGAAGGAAAAATCTTAATTACAAAAATTATAACTATAACCATGCTTAAATATCCCGTTGGATAATTTTGCGCATGCGCATGCAATTCGCGATCGCAATTACATTGCAACGGGGACTTGCGATATCGCAAATTCAATATGAAATTCGCCACTAAGAAAAGAAAACAAATCATGCCACGTGGGGACGCATAACGATATTAGTCTATTTGGACTAACCATAACTATAACACACGACTTGCGATTAACAATATCGCATTCCTGAGGTTCACTTCCATCCTCGGAAGGAGATTGTCAGGTAGGTGGCCTGATTCACGGCAGAAAAGTCTACACATGGGTGCCGACTCGCCACTCTCCTTCCGCCATGCGATCCTGTGCTTCGATTTCAGTGAAAGTACAAATCTCCCGAATTTTGACGATAGCGCAATGAGTACTACGACTAGGACTACACAGCATTACAAGGAAGGAAACAAAGAAAATATTTTTATTATGCTAAATTATGCATTAATTCAGTTACTGATTAAATCAAACTGAGTTCATCAAGATTACATCGTGGGCTGACTGAATCTCTATGAAACAGCAAATACTATTGATTATTTCCCTCCCTGCCTTGTTAACGAACAGAACTAAAAGTAATAAATTCTTTATTAAAAAGGCTGCATATGTTTCGACCTATCAAAACTTGTATTAATTTATATTGGCGACATTTCAGTTGGAAAATCGTTAATAAACTAATCTTACGCTAATATATTCGTTGGGAAGGACTGTGGTGTCGAATACGATTAAACAATAGTTCTTTGCTGAATTTACAAAGAAAATTCAACGTACTTACCAATTTTTAAACACTCGTTTTCACTGCATCACAAAACAACAAGAAGGGCCAAGAGATCTTTCATCTATTTGCGCAACATTCGAAAAATTCCTAAACTACCAACCCTAGAAGGGTGGCCTTCTACCAGTCCTCTAACGCGCTAATCATGTATGAGTGATTGTCTACGTTATGGAAATATTTTTTATAGGCGTTAAATTTAAAATTTTAAACCGCAACACCACAATTGACCAGTTATAACCTATGTAGGTTAGACTCTGAATGTTTAATTTACTCCTGTTAAAATAAGGGGTTGTAAATGGTTAACTGTATTCCATCCCACGTATCTCTGAATTCTCTTTTTTAATAGCTTCGATATTTTCTTGATAAAGATATCAGCAACCACCCCATCGCAGTTTTTAAAATGTAATACTTTCTGATCCTACATAATTTTGCCCTACCTTCCCCTACTGTAAAAACCTCTGTGACTCACTTATTTGTTTTCCATACTTTTCTTCTTGCGGTGCATTCAACAACTCGAGATACTATCGTCTGAAAAGCGAACACAATGACAAATAATTTAAATATTCAAGGCTCAATTTTTAATAGAAATGGCCATCAGTGTGATTAAAAAGATTTAATTTAAACAGGTGGTAATTAGTCGAGATGCGGAAGATAAATCGTTCAGAAGCCTTCACTTCGCAAAACTTTTTAAAAATAACTTCCCACGACGATAATTATTTAGTCAGTCTGTAACAATATTGCGATAATTTTTCTGTCCTCTTGAGTAATTTATACTGCAATAAAACCTGTACTACAATTTACATATTGCAGAAAATATTTTACGCTTCACGTAATTATGCAAAATTAGCAAGTTAACAGTTAACAACAACACATTTTTAAAATCTGTTTTTATTCAACAATAATAAATAGTATACATGATATTTTTATCATCAGTATTACTCATGTTTCCATTTCCTCGTTGTTTACAACGCTAACAATAAGATCCTCGTACGTCCACTTGGGGAATATTCTTTTGTATAGATTTAGAAGTACGGTATCTTGCGATTTTAATTGACCGTCAAATACGCATTTGATGTGTCCATGTGTACCTGAAAATAATAAGTTTAATTAGTTTTTTTTTTAAATAAAATATTATGCAAGGTTTACCCAAAGGTTCTTTTATGTGTCCTGAGCGCCCCATTTTTGTTCTTAGTTTACAAGGTTTAAAATAGATAATATCTTCTCTATTAAAGAACAAAAATCTGATGACAGCAGATCTTTTATAAATTTTGAAAGGATGACCTACAACATAGTTATCAGTACTGGAACAACCAGTGTTAAAAAAACAATTAACCTGATAAAACAATTCTTTTTAAAATAATCCTGTCTGGATTACAAGAGAGTAAACTTCCTGTAGCTACTAAAGTCAACTGACCCCCTTCTTCTTTATAACAGAGAACTGGTGATGGTGGAAACTGAATTCTGCCAAAGAATGTTGCAACCACAGTGGATTCTGGTTGGAAAAATCTTTCAAATTTATGCTTCTGGCCATTAGTGTGTTGGCTAAATATGGGGTTAGTCACAAATCTTCTATACCCACACTGGAATATTAATCTTTCTTTTGACTTGATAGGTATAGAATAGTTTGGAGTCCTTTTCAGAACAACATTCACAACAGACATTTTATATTCATGAGGAAGTAAACCAAATAGTATCAGAGGTCCATTTATTTTTTCAAAATTGGACCATAACAGTTGAGAAACATCTTTCACATGAACTGTCACATACCACCCAGGCTACAAATATTCAATATAACAAATAATTTTTAAACACTACTATATTCTCACCTTAGCACCATCAACGTCCTCCTGTTCCTTTATAACCCGTTTTTTAGTTCTATCAAAGTTTTCAAACTGGAAGATTCTAGCATAATCATATGGCAAATTTTCTTTTGGGTCCCAAGGTGATGTTCTGAAGCTTTCTAACCCTCTATACTTCTGGAACCTTACTCTGGCAGGTTCATCCAAAGGTGTATCCACCTCATCAGGAAACATTCGATCACCTTTTGCTGCTTTGAGTTTTTCCAGTTCTTGTCTTTCTTCCATAAAGTCCATTTCTTGGTCATATTTTTCATCATTGGGTGCAACTTCAGACTCTGTCATGGTATCAAATTCTCGGTCTTCGTTATCAGAAGCTTCTGACTTTTCCTCAGACATGGCATCCATATCTTTGTTTGACTCTTCATCAGAGGAGTCATCCAAGTCTGCTTGAAATTCAGCATCATCATCAGGAATCCAAGCAGCTTGATAGTCTGACCATCCTTTAGGAACTTTTTTTACCTTTTTAACCTTGCTTTCTTTTTCTGCCATTTCTAGTTCTTCATTGGTGGGCCAAGTTTGTTCAGCATCCATTGGATCAGGAAGGTTTTCGGCGTCAAGTGATTCTTGTTTAGCAACGTCAGCTGTATCTAAGATTCTTGTGTTCACTGTGTCATCAACCATTGAGCTTCTATTTCTAGAAAATGAAATTTATGCAAATTTTTAAATTTAATAAAATGTTACATACTTATTTTTGTCAGTATTATAGGGATCAGGAGGAGCATCTATTTGAAGCATTTGAAAGTCTCCAACACCTGGTATGTGTACTAAGGCATTTACTGACATTGTAGAACCACGTAAGTACCCTGTTACTTTCAAAGTGCCATATGGCCCTAAAATTATATCAATATTATAATTATAAAAAAAAAACACTGGATATTGTACAACCTAATTCATTTGGAACAAACTCAACATGTTCTGCATAAATATGGGGTCTTCTATCCCTATACAATACAGTTCTCCTTTTTTGACTACCAATTTTTCTCAACAGATTGATACCATCTGAATCATTCTCAATTGTGGTGACTTTCTCATCAGGAAGCCACTTTGAAATTAATTTCTGTATTTGTTGCTTGTAATCATTTCTTCTTTTTTGAGTGATGCTTTCTAAATCTGTTATAGCAACCACTGGTGTTGGTAGACCCTAATAATATATAGTTAGTAAAAAGTACAAGTAATTTAGTTTGAAAAAACCTGTGAAAAAGATGACATTAAAATATTCTGACCCCATTTATCTATTAATTTATCCTCTTCAACACCTCCAGACGTGGATATTAAGAACACTACTGTGTCACAAACTTTTAAAGCATCTAAAACGGTTAGCTCATTATCATTTGAAGGGACAACAAATGAGAATTTTTGCTTAAATCTTGGCGTACTGTAACAGATTAAAAATTAAACTATTGGCATCTATATATTTATATAATTTTACCAGATATGTGTGACTCCTGTTGGACTTTTATTAACTACAGCTTCCGAGTCACACTTAGTCAAACGTTCTAAAACTTCATTAGCGTCAATGGCTTTGTTCAAAGGGAGCAAGCAAACCAGAAATGGTGCATGATCAAGCCCCCCCAATGACCGCTTTTTATTTAAAACCTCAGTTCTTTTATTTTGTCGGATTTGTAAAGCTTGATGACGTCGTTCTTCTCTATTTAAACTTCGTTTTATCTTCTTGGATAGTGTTTTCACGGAGAATTTTCCTGTTTTTTTAATACTATAATGTTTGTATACATAACCTCAAAACATACCTTTAGCATCACTACTAATTGAGCCTTTAGAACGGTGACGCCCGTGTTTATGGGACTTGTTGCTTTGTTTAAAAACTCCTGGCCTGTGCGACTGCACTTTGTCAAGCCCCATTTTAACACAAAAACTTTTGTCGCAACACGTGCTAATTTAACACGATGACATTTAATGTGAAAAAGTCAAACCGGACCAGCAATCACAAACAATTAAAGTTACTAAGCGCTTTGTGCAAAACCAGTTTGTGTGTTGATTTGTTTGTGTATTCAAGTTGGTGAACGTGTTTTTAGACGCACGCGCATTTACAAATATTTGGTTATGTTCTACACATGTGTTAAAAAGGTTAGAAAGATTTGCTGTCGAGAACGGTTTAGTTCGTTTGTGCACTATTTCAATAACAAAAATGATTTGTTTGTTCTAAAATGGAAGAAGTGATTGATAGTGAGTTTGTTTTTAAGAAACTGAAGGGTTTTTGCAAAATCAACGAACAGTTTGCTGGCGCATTTAAGGTAATTTTTGTGTAATGTTTCACCATTTATTCTATTAATGGCTTTTAAACAGTTAACTGATAAAAATACCAGGTTAAATCGCGGCGAAAAAAACTGCGAGCTTTTGCATTACCTTGCGCGAAATATTATTACCGTCCCTACATATTTTGAAGATGTTGTCACTTATTTTTCCGAAGTTTTGCCGAAAATTGTATCCTTCGCAGTCTCTGTGGACGCTGCACCCAACAGTGAATATCATAAAAGAAACACTGTTATGTTGGGGAAAATAGTACAACTTAGAAATGACTTGAAATGGTAATGTGTAGTAATCTACAATTCGAATTTGCTTATGATTACTTAATTTTTTGTAGGTTTGCATTAAGATATTTTGAAAAGAATCCGCCACCTTTTACATCTGAAGATCAGCAACCTGCCAAGAGAATCAAAATGTCCCCAAATTTTGATGTCACTGATTTAGATATAGTCGAATCCTGTTACTGGTTATTACAAAGTGAACCATCTTTTTATGAGAAGAAGTGGGACTGGGCAGAATTTGCTGAAAAGTATTTAAACCATGAAGAGGAAAAAGTACAGTGGATTGCTTGTCACTGTATTTCTGTAATTACTCACATGAGTGAAAATCAGTTACAACAATTTATTACATCTAAGATTTCAAAAGAAAATCATGAAAAATTTTCATGTATTTATAATTTAAAAAGGACCTTGATAAAATCAGATTCTGTCAAGATAGCTTTAGACCAGAATCCAAGTTTCTCAGTTAATAAAAATCTATCTGATGATGTAGTCGAAATTTCTGGTATTTATATCCCCAAGTTGCCACTATCCTCAGAATGTATTGTAGACAATTTGGTCATTGTAAATTCAACTTATAACAATTTGAAAAAGATTGCATTTGGACTTTCTTCAAACAGAGCCCTTTGCTTGCAAGGTCCCGTTGGTTCTGGAAAAACTACTTTAGTAGAATATGTGGCAAGCAAAACAGGTAGAAAGCTAGGAAAAACATTTATTAAAGTACAACTGGGTGATCAGACTGATAGTAAGATGTTACTAGGAACGTATAGATGTAGTGATATTCCAGGAGAATTTATTTGGCAACCTGGTGTTCTTACACAGGTATGTAATTTTCTCAATGTCTAAGAATTATGTAATTACTTTTTTTATTAGGCTGTAATGGATGGCCATTGGCTTTTACTTGAAGATATAGATTCTGCAAGCATGGACATAGCTTCAGTGCTATCAAATTTATTAGAGAACGGATATTTAACTGTTCCTGGGTATCGTGATTCTTTGCCCATAGCGCCAGGATTCCAGTTATTTTTCACTCAGAGGTAAGTGAAAGTGATTACTGTTGATTCTAATTGAAGGTTGGTAGGGCTTTTGAAACTTTTTAACGATATAATTTTAATTACGTAAACAGTTAATATGATCGAAAAAGTCGTCAAGTAGGCCATGAAATTTAATTTTAAAATAGTGATGTTCACATACAGTTGGCAGCATTGTTGTAGCCATTTCTGAACAGGGAACACGTTGGTGTTGCCAACATAATATTTTTATCATTAAATTTCTATAACTGGCCTGTTTTATATAGTTCCTGTGTTTTTATTACTCTCTAATTTTAGTTTTTTTCTATTGTGTGTATTCTTATTATTATTTAATTGTGCATTTTACATGACAGCTGCACGACCCGCCGCCCCTTGTTTCCCCTCAATGCATTATATTTTTGAGAACCAGTTCCGATGTCTTTTAAAAAGTGAGGAGGGAATCGATATTCATGATTTCCTTCTTTTTATGAAATTCTACTATATTTTTGTAAAAGTATTTATAAATTTGGGGTTGAAGTGCACAAACTGCGATAAATTTTATTATATTAATATTAATATTTTTGTCTTCTGTAAGTTTTGTACTTATACTATGAAATATACAAATTCATACATCCTAGAATATGAAAAAGTTTCCGTCTGTCGTCTGTTGATGGCTTTATTAGATAAGTAATCTCCAAAATTACTGATCTAATTGTTGTGAAAATTTGGATTTGTTTTAAGAAAATTGTAATGTTTTGTAACTTTGCATTAAATCGTGTAATATTTTAAAATTGAAATTACATATCTACGCAAAAATTGTTTTTGGTACGTAAAAATCAGTTTCGTTTTCATTAAATAAACTTTGATTTAATCTTTACTATCATGCATCACTAAATTGGTTTATATCTGTACACACATTTGAGCGTAGGCCGATTTTCGGGGGTAATTAGTATTATTATGTAAATATAATAATAATACATGCATGTGTTGTGCTGACAAGATTTATTATTAAACTGGGAATTATTTTCCCAAGGGCTTTGCGAGAACTTTATGCTCAGAGGTATCGACATTTCGCTCCTTGGTTATCGATTTATGGTGCTAATTAATCACGTTGCGGAGACGAAAGTCTCCAAAATTTTTGGAATTAATGTTGTAAACTATTTTAACAATTTTATAACATTTTTTAAACTGAACAGATTAATTGAAAAGTGAACATGACCGAGCAGATTTCTGTCCCCGTTTTAGGTTACTTTCAACGATAAGTGGTCACCACAAGAAACATTCCAACGCAATGATGCTACTAGAAAAGCACGTATTGCAAATAAATATCGACCCTTTGACCTCCGAAGAACTAAAGCAAATTTTAATTACGCACCACCCACAATTCACAACAATTGCAGATCGCATGATCAGCGTCTTCCACCTATTTTCAAAAAAGATTTCCGAATCAAAAGAAATCAACCTACCGAAAACGAGTCGCCTAATTTCAACACGAGACTTCTTCAAGTGGTGCTCACGAGCGACCAAAGATTTTGACATCAGTAGTCAAACTAGCGCTTTGAAAGTCCTCCAAGACGCAATAGACGTCTTCTGTTGTTCATTCCCAAAACCGGAAGACGCTTTAAATTTGGCCAGAGAAATTAGCACCCATTTGGGCATCATTAACCAAAAAGCTGAATACTTTTTGAAAAATTATAAACCAACAATACAACAAACGCCTAGTAGTTTGGAAGTCGGACGTGCTACGATTCCAAGAGACAACGAACGCTTAATTTTCCGCCAAAACTATTATTTCACTCGACCCTCAGCCGTTTTGTTGGAAAGAGTGATGTGTTGTGTAAACCTCAAAGAACCGGTTCTTCTCGTCGGGGAAACCGGAACCGGAAAAACGTCTTCAGTCCAATTTCTAGCCAACACGATCGGCCAGAAATTGGTCGTCATCAATATGAACCAGCAGTCGGATTCAGCCGATTTGCTCGGAGGATTCAAACCCGTGGATTTGAAATTTATCGTTGGTGCGATTCGTGAAGAGTTCGAGCAAGTTTTTTGCAGCTATTTTCAAGTAGAGCCGAACAAAACATTCCTCGGGCACGTCGCGTTCTGCTACAACGAACAACGATATTCTGATTTGGTTAAATTGATGACGAAGAGTTACGAAGCGGCGGTGTCCCGATTGATGAAACCTGACGCTTCTAAAAAACATCTTTTGCCACAGTGGCAGTCCATCGGGGTAAAACTACATAGATTAAACCTTCAGTTGCGACAAAAAAGTGCCTTAGCTTTTGCTTTTATTGAAGGCAGCTTGGTGAAAGCTGTCGAGAACGGGTACTGGGTACTACTGGACGAAATCAATTTAGCTAATGCTGAAACGTTGGAGTGTTTGTCAGGGTTGTTGGAAGGTTCAGAAAGTTCGTTGTGTTTATTAGAGCGAGGCGATAAAGAACCTGTTAAGAGACACCCTAATTTTACTTTGTTTGCTTGTATGAATCCTTCTACGGATGTAGGAAAGAAGGATCTTCCAGCGGGATTGAGAAATAGATTTACGGAGTTCTTCGTTGATGAATTGACTGAGAAGAATGATTTGCTTTTGTTGGTTAGTAGTTATCTGGATGCGTTCTCGTTGAAAGATGTGGAATTGGGGAAGATAGTTGATTTTTATCTAAAAGTTCGGAAAGAAACCGAGACTACTCTTACGGATGGTTTAGGACACAAACCACACTTTTCTTTAAGATCTTTGTGTCGTGCTTTGATGATAGCGGCAAGGAATCCATGTGGAATGGTGAAGAAGAGTCTTTATGAAGCTTTTTGTTTGAGTTTCTTGACGCAGTTGGACTCTTCGTCTTATATACTGCTGGAAAAAATGATAGGACGGTATTTACAGTCGAAATTACAGCATTTTTGTTTTATATTCATCTTTGATAACTTTTTAGATATATGATTGGTGATGACAAGTTGTTGAAGTCTGTGTTAAAACAGTCAATACCACCACCTAAAGAAAACCCAGATGATTATATTCAATTTGAGGGTTACTGGGTGCGCAAAGGCAGCTTAGAATGCGTTGTTTCAGAAGACTACATTCTTACAGATTCAGTTCGGAAAAATTTGAAGGATTTGGTTCGAATTGTTTCCATTGGTGGACTTCCCGTTCTATTACAGGTACCACTGTCCTCTACAAAACATTTTTATTATTATTATTTTTTTTGCAATAGGGTGACACTTCTGTTGGCAAAACTAGCCTGATAACATACTTAGCCAAATCCAGTGGTAACAAATGTGTACGAATCAACAACCACGAACATACAGATCTTCAAGAGTATATAGGTTCTTATGCAGCTGATTCCGAAGGCAAGCTAGTCTTCAGAGAAGGCTTGCTAGTCGAGGCTATGAGAAAAGGTCACTGGATAATCCTCGACGAACTAAATCTAGCCCCTACCGACGTTCTTGAAGCTTTGAACCGAGTTCTTGATGACAACCGCGAGTTATTCATTCCAGAAACACAAGAAACGGTTAAAGCTAATCCCAGATTCATGCTTTTTGCGACCCAGAACCCACCTGGGTCTTACGGTGGTCGAAAAATGCTTTCCAGAGCTTTCAGGAATAGGTTCGTTGAATTGCATTTTAACGAAATACCTCCACAAGAGTTAGAATTTATTCTACACAAGAGGTGTCAAATGGCACCTTCTTATTCAAAGAAGATGATCAGTGTGATGACGGATCTACAGGTGGGTTATAATATTGGTGTCTTTGATTTTCTTCAATAGTGTTCTAGATGAGGCGACGTGGATCTGCCGCTTTCGCTGGGAAAAAGGGTTTCATTACCCTTCGAGATCTATTTAGATGGGGCGAAAGATACCGATTGGCGCAAAATTCTACCAAGTTGTATGACTGGGACCAGCATTTAGCTGATGAAGGGTACTTGGTTCTAGCAGGACGCGTTAGAAAAGAAGAAGAAAAGAAAGAAATCATTACGGTTTTGCAGAAACATCTGAAACGGGAAGTTAATCCACAAAATCTTTTTACTCGTAAGTAATTAAATGTGAAGGGAGGTAGTTCTTATTGGGTTTTTGAAGTGTCGGATCACACGTCGCCAATCACGAAGGATACTTTGACCAAGATTTATGACAATCGGGATAAGTTTGAAAATATTGTTTGGACTTACAACATGCGTCAACTCGCTGTGTTGGTGGCCAAAGCTTTTCAGTTTAAAGAACCCGTTTTATTGGTTGGTGAAACTGGTGGGGGGAAAACCACCGTGTGTAAGCTGATTGCTGAAATGGATCAGCGAGAGTTATTGTCTGTGAACTGTCATATGCACACGGAAAGTAGTGACTTTATTGGTGGTCTGAGGCCCGTTAGGGATCACGTGGTATTTTGTAACCCCTTTGACTATTTTATTTAGTAACCGTAAATTTTAAGGACGATGTTAATAAATTGTTTGAATGGATTGATGGTCCTCTGATTCACGCGATGGTGAAAGGACATGTGTTTTTAGCAGATGAAATATCTCTAGCTGATGATAGTGTACTGGAACGTCTTAATTCCCTATTAGGTACTATTTCGGTTTAATTATGTGCATTTACTAATCCTGTTTGTAATTTAGAGCCAGAAAGAACGTTGTTACTAGCGGAAAAGGGAACAGATATAAACAATTCTGACAACTCAGAGATGATTATTGCTGACCCTAATTTTTATTTTGTCGGAACGATGAATCCAGGTGGTGATTTTGGTAAAAAGGAGTTATCTCCGGCTTTGCGTAACCGTTTCACCGAGATTTGGTGCGAATCTTGTACAAATAGGGACGACTTAATTGCAATAATCGAACAAAATGTTAAAGACGGAATTTCTTTTGGTAATCAACAAGATGGTTCCACTGGGATTGGAAAGAACATAATGGACTTTGTTGATTGGTTCAAACATACAGAAGTAGGAAAAAGGTACGGAGTGTTTGAAGGTTCTGTAAAACCATAAATTCGAAATCAATAATTTCTAGATGTACTGTAAGCATCCGTGACATTTTGACTTGGGTGAATTTTATTAACAAATGTGTGGACAAAGTAGGCGTTTATGATGCGTATTTCCACGGAGTATACTTGACTTTTTTGGATGGCTTGGGTTCGGGAATAACCGGAACCGAAAAGTGAGTCTTTGGTGCGTACTCGCTATTTTACTCACGTTTTCTTTGTAGCTTAATCAGTTTAAAGAAATTTCGCCTTGAATGCGAATCCTTCACCAAAAATCAGTTAAAAACCGTAACCCATTCGCACGTAGGTCTCACTGACGAGTCAGTTATCGAGGAAACTGAAACCCATTTCGGAATTAAGCCTTTTTACGTCGAACTGGGCAATGAAACTCGTCGAACGCCCGCCTTTGCATTTAACGCGCCTACAACGGCACGTAACACCCTGAGATTGCTGAGAGGAATGCAGTTAAATAAAGCAATATTACTGGAGGGCAGTCCCGGAGTGGGCAAGACTAGCCTCGTTACAGCTGTGGCGAAATTTGGGCGCCATAAAATTTTCAGAGTCAATTTGTCAGATCAGACGGTAAGTTTTTTTCCGCTGTGGACCTCCCTGACTGTTCAATTATTCAAGGACATATCCGATTTGTTTGGGGCCGATTTGCCTGTGGAAGGGGGTAGCGGTGGTCAGTTTTCGTGGAGGGATGGGCCGCTTCTTCAGGCTTTGAAACAAGGCCATTGGATTTTATTGGATGAGTTGAATTTAGCTTCGCAATCGGTTTTGGAGGGTCTTAATGCTTGTCTTGATCATCGAGGGGAGATTTTCATTCCAGAATTGGGGAAGACGTTTCACGTGAAACCAGGTGAGTGTTTTTGTTGTAGTTTGATATGTATTGGTCAGTGATATTTTTCGGTGGGATGTCTCCTTGGCAAATAGGAGTAATATTTTACAAATTTAGGGCGTTTTAGTGTAGTTCTATTGTTTGAATTGTACAATAGAGACTTTGTTATCCAGCCATACATGGATAGATCTTAACAATAGAATGACTTGTGGTTTTTGTTAATCTTGACTCTATTGAGGTCCCTACTCATACCCAAGTTAAGCACATAAATGTGCCGGAGCGATAATAGAATTATTATTTTGAAATGGCAGCTTTCTGTCTAGTTGAAATAATAAAATCCAGCAAGGAAATTTAGTATGCGTTTCAGAATAGTGCCCGAACACAATTAAAAAAAGAATAAGCAAATCAAATTTAATCCCTTACCTCTTACATTTGTGTACTGTGTATTTTAAACATAAAATAATTTGGTATTTGAATTGTTGATTTTAGCTTTTTGAATAAAAAATTTTGTAATTTATAGCTTGAAGCAAGAGATGTGAAAAAAGTACGGTTGTAATGTTGCTACTTCAAACACGTGCACTGGTCCGTGCACGAAAATATAATTTCCGTAACTATATAAGTTTTTTAACAGTTTTTTTAAGAGCTGTACATCATTACTAGAGAGCGGATTTCTGTCGGGCTAGACAAGGCCAAACTCGGTACGGCTCGTACGGGATGGGAATTCATTGCTGTTACCGGCTGCACTTCGTTTATTTGAGATTAGAATAACGCTGCTTCGTTGCACTCTGCTGTTAATTCCAGTTCTCATTTACTTAGCCGTTTGATTAATAAATCGTTAATTGTATTTATGGAATCAAGTGACAATTAAATTCTGTGATTACCTATCACCCGCTACTGAGTCCCGGCGTTGCAGCGCGTCCCCACCTATATCGTGACGTAGCCCGACAGAAATCCGCTGTCTAATCATTACCGAGCGGGCAACAGAGTTTTTAATTATGATCGATATTAAAAGGAGAAAAGAGGCGCAGTTTTAAACACGGCTAGGGTTTTTAACATACTCTTAATTGCGAACTTTAATTTTTTTCTGTTTTTTAACCGTAAAATAATGTTTTTAAGTTTTTACGTTAGATATATTCGTTTTAAATGGCCAAATGAAAATAAATGAAATCCATGTAACGACATATCGGGTGTTCAATTGAAAAAGTCATCACACTGGCCTTGATTTTTTGGATACATTATTGTGAATTATGTCTATAATAAACATAAAATTTAATCAATGACAGGTGACAAAGCGGAAATGTCAATTATCCGTAACAGGGATTAATAAAATACATGCGTTTTCCGCTACGTTTTCTTCTGTCAAAAAGCAACGCCAACTTGATGACTTTTCCAAATGAACACGTTATCTAAATGATGAATCTTGAGAATAAAATATTGAAGATGATATATTTTAGTTATTGTTATGAAATTCTTTCTGAGACCGAGAGCGATATTTTCTACAGGCTATGAAATGTTGAGAAAGTATGAAATCAGATATTAATAGTGTATATTAGCTTATATTTCAGAAGTAAAAATATTAAAAAAATTAAAAAAGCTTTTCAATTAAATAAAAATATGTAAAAAATATATCATTTGGAAAAAACTAAACACAGATAAATGAGAGATGTTCTTAGTTCTCGAGAAAAAAATTCTTTGTTTTTACAAATAAAAATTCAAGGAGTATCGATTTATAGTGAACCAAGACCTATAAGGTTATATGGCCATCATAAAAGTAGTTGACCGCAAATAAATACCCCCTTTGTGTGGTTCGCACTAAGCTTACCGGTTGGCAATAAATCATCTTCTAAACATTTCTTGCCAGAGACTTGAAGCCGGCTGTCGCCATATTGCTTAGTCCCAAAATCGCGCCGAATTTAAAATGTCAACAATTTCAAAGTTATTAAAACACGATCTTAACAAGTTTATTTGGAATAGTAAGGTGTTGCCGATGAAATAAAATACCTTTTTGACCACTACTTTTTTGTTTCGAATTACGATACCACCGTACACCGCAGCTTACTGGCATTTTCGTTCAAAGTTCACCTAATTTATTAAATACTGTCGTAACAAACGCGACACCATTGACCAGGAGTTAGGTCCAATAAACAAAAAAAAACAACAAATAACAGCTACACTCAGCACCCAACAAACAGACTTTCCTACTTCTATTAACGAAAACTCGAAAACTGAGAACGATAGTTCCGTTTAAAGGTTAAGTTGGGTCAGGATTGACAGAAAGGGACCAGCAATGGCGGCGATTTTTGTTGACAGAACTGCTTCACGAAATACAATAGAATCTAGGGTGACAGCCAGTCTATATATATTTGAAGTCTTTGTTTCTTGCTCATATTTAACAGGGCCGGCTTTCAAAGCGAGTGGTTATTTCGGAACCCTCAGCGGCTGCAGGTAGTAAAGAAATAGTGGAGTGGTGGATTTTCATATTTAGTGAAAGCCGCCCCTGAACGAAACCACAAGAGCTGGTCGAGCTGCAGTGGACACGTTATTTACGACCCTAAAACCTTTTTTATTGTAAACAACTTAACTTCGACACAATGGGATGATTTTATGATGGCCATATAACCTTATAACTCTTGGTTCACTATAATATTCCTGATGATATTGACAGACAGGTGATTCAAAAATGGCGCACTGATTCAACGGTACGTAATTCAGTTCATACGTCTAAGTTGGAGAGAAATTATTAAAAATTCAGTTTGACGTTCACTTACAAGAATATAATATCGATTTAGACAGAAAGATTAAAAAATGTGAAAACTTAGCTACTGTTGTTAGATTCATTCTGAACGGTTTTTAAGTTTTTGGTAATGTTATAAAATGAAGAAAATTATGGATACAGATATGATATTTCCAAAATCGATTTCATATACCCAACACTAAGTAGTGAATTAAATATCTAAAAGGAAAATAATACTTTGAAAGCCTATATCATCGACATATGGACCCAAATATTTTTAAAATTCTTTTTTCTTTGCTCAATAAACAGTCCTTGATGTGTTTTATAGTTTGTGCATCATTTTTGAATCACCCTGTATACATTTCAATATGCGATTAAAATTGGTTTTTACCATGCATCGATATTTTGTGAAATAAACGCAATATTTTAATTATAATTCGTATTGTGCTTTCAAAGATTCTTTTGAATTGGGTGAAACTTGTCGAGACATTATTTAAAAAAAATTGGAATTTTGGTATAAAATTCATGTTTACACCGAAGAGAAAAATTATAAAACAAATTTGAAAATTATCAAATCTGTGAAATTTAAGTGTTGTCTAAGCATTAAAAATGTGGACGACCAGGTGGAAAAAAGTTTAATTACAAAAGAAGGATATTTAAAATACATAAAATATACTAAACCGTATGTGATTAAATCGACTGAAAAGTTTTGATAACTTTTTAATTCTTGGTCTTAACGTTATTATGTACTTCTTCGTTGGAAAGTAAACAGAAATACCCAGACTATAGAGTTTTTATGACACGGTTCAAACTCGAAAAACGTCTTTCTGTTTTTAAAGTGTACTTTAAAATATCTTTGTATTCTTAATTAAATTTTATTTCTGTGTTTTTATAGTCCTGTTATTTGCAATTGCTTTCATATTTTTTGTTTATTTTGTTATTGAATACATATTTTAATTGAGATTAAGTTGATCAATCAATCGTGCATTTAATGATGCTTTTAGCGACATCTGATTCGCATAGAGTCGGTAACGTGGTACTTTAATGCCGCCATTAAAAGTGTAATCGCAATCAAATATTTAATTATTGAGCTTCTGTAAACCGGGCTTTTAGTTTTTTTTGAGATAAGTGTCAGAAATTTCAGCAATAGAAATCGGGCACATATGGGGTGATTTTTTTTTTCAGATCTAGTCAGCTGTGAATTTGTTGACAGAACAAATTTGGCAGAAAAGTAGGTTGTAACTTGACACAGAAAATGTATAATGTTAAAATCACTTTACGAGTTATATGTTGTAAGAGACGAGCTACGTAATTTGATGACGTAATAGATAGCGAAAACTAGATCAGACTTAAAAACATCATACGATACTAGATGTTAGAATCGAAGTGTCCACATGCTAATTTTTGTGTTTTATTTTGGTGTTTTTTTAATATCTTTCTGTTGTTTGGATGTATTTTTCATTTTGAGCATATAAAATTAATCAGTGAAATAGAGGTCGGGTGGGTGGGCGGGGTTAATTATATAAACTTCTGTAGAGTGAGAGTGGGAACTAATAGAGCCTAGGCTATAAAAAAATAAAATAAAATAAAAAAAGCGGCAATTGTAACTTTTTTGTACTATTTAAGTAAGATTCACTTTTTTCTACAGTCTTATAAGCAAGCAGTAGCCCCGCCCACCCACCCTCTATTTTCTCAGAAAGTGTCACTTGCCAGAATTAGTCTTATCTTAGTTTTTCGTTGCTCCTTAGAACGTTTTCTGTTATCTTATCAGTTTTTACTTCTTGCTTTAATTTATAGATTAGAGAAAAGAATGCAAAAAGCATGGATAATAAAGATGAAAAATGAAAGTAAATTCTTTTATTTGGATTTCTTCCAGTATACTAAAAAAATCTCATACAGACATTTTCATTCGAGTCGAAAAGTTAAAAAAAGAACACTATGTGCGTAAATCACTCTAGTATAGTGTGATCAATAACTACTGCGTGTGACATTTTAGTAATAATAATTACTAACAATTTTCAATTTAAATTAAATGCCACTGTCAACAATGTCAATTTTGACAACAGGAAGTAAGGTGGGGTGACAGATTTACCAATTATAAGCAAAATTCGTTGATACCAACAGTAATTGTTGACTACGTTGTAGTACAGTAATAGAATCATAACCTAATAACACAAACTTGGTTCTGTTTCATTTGACGTGTATTTAAAAAATTACCGTTTAAAGTTTGAAAACTTTCACAAATCAAGTGTAAGCTATTGTTGAGAGTCCACTTTGTCGCTAAGTTTTGTGCGCTACTCTACTAAATAATTACCTAATTAACGCATATATAAAAATAATGAATATCTCTAATGCCTCCTTTTCAGGAACTCGTTTTTTTGCGTGCCAGAACCCATTAAAACAGGGAGGATCTCGGCGAGGGTTGCCCCAATCGTTCTTAAACCGTTTCATCCAAGTTTATGTCACCTCATTAACAGACGCCGATCTGCATCTAATATTAAAGAATCAATTTCCGAATTTGTGCCCCGAACTCTTGGAGAAGATGTTAAAATTTAATTCTCGAGTTCATGCGGAATTGGCGAACCACAGTTTTGGGAATAAGGGATCGCCTTGGGAGTTCAACCTGAGGGACTTAACTCGGTGGTGCGAGGCGATGATCTATCACTACAAAGTTAATCCCAGTGACGACAGGGTCTACCAACCTGAATGCCTAGTGCATTTAATTTATGGCGATCGCATGCGAACGCTGAATGACAAAACTAAAATAAATGAGATATTTGAAGAAGTTTTCGGGCGGAAAATTTCAGGAGACGCTGCTATTTTCTACGTGAATAATGAAAAAGTATTTATCGGTGATGCGAGTCTGCATAGAAATGACTGCGGCATCGATGCGAACGTGATCAGCGAGGAGAAGAGCTGCCTAGTTTTGAGATCGCAGTTGCCGCTCTTGAGAAGTTTAGCTTACTGCGTTAATCTTAATTGGATGAGTTTGTTGGTAAGTTGTGTTGAAAAAATGGGTAACCCGTAAAAGTTATTATTATTGTCTTATGTTCGTTAGGTTGGCACTTCGGCGACGGGAAAGAGCTCCGTAGTGCGGACTTTGGCTAATATCGTTGGGAAAACTTTAAGAACTTTGCCCGTAACATCTGCCATGGATACCACGGATATTCTGGGAGGATTCGAACAGGTAAGTTTTTTACTTGTACTCATTTTGCGAGGTTTTAACCAACTTTTTCGTCACATTTCGTATCGTCACTTTGGAGATGGATTTATTGGGATAGAAATTGCGACAATAAGTATATGGAAAAAAAAATCGATTATAAAGTTCTACAAGAGTCGTCTTTTTAGAGCAAATTTGAGGTTTATTTCAAACGCGGTGATAAAAACGTCCACACGTAAACTTTCAAGATTAAATTGTGGTGCGAGTGGTGGCGAGTTTATTTTCTAGACTTATTATAAAACGACGGGTTATGAGGGAGGCAAAAAATAAGAATTCGTGACTTCGTACATTTTATTTTTTTAGTGTACATATAGAAACAAAATTCGCTGGAAGAATATAATGGGTGCATTTGACAAATAACGATATTATTTGTTTATTTGTTCTTCCACAAATTATTAGTGTAACGGTTTACTTTCGTTGTAATTTACGTTAGTTGTTTTATATACAAAAGCAATAATTTACTTTTATTTATACATTTAGGCACATTGTTTAGTTGTTGTTTTTTAAAACCTGAATACACTTGGACAAATCGTGTTATTGCTCTTTATTCAGCTGAGAAATCGACTTCACGACAACTTTGACTCACAAAACAAAACGTAATTGGGCTTTACATACTCTTTAGCGTTTGTTTAAGATTTTACACTTCTCTTGGCGACGATAGTGTTAAAATACATAAATGTTTATTCACTACAAACACTAAAGTTAAATATACAAAGTCGAATTGATAACACAAACGAGAAAAAGAGGGTGACAGGATATGTCTAGAATAACATTAAAATGGCGTGAAACGAGAAAGCTCGTGCTCGACAGATTTCCCATTTATTACTGCTCAATGTGGAGAAAAATGTGTCTTATAGTATCTATGTGACATTTACGATCTAATCACATGGATTTGATTGCAGCTGTGGTCCTAAGTACTATTCTACTACATGTAATGTAACATTGTGACGTAGTAGACTGCAATTTCTAAAATTTTCTGTGGTTACACTGCCACTTTCATTTGTTTAGACGCTCCTGGTCTACACAAATGATTTATAGACAATTAAACCTTGAGCAAATTTAAGGTGTGGACGTTCATTTTAGTAATTGCAGATGAGAAATGTACTATTCTACTAGAAAGACTTTGAGATAGTTACAATTATATCAGTTCTTGAGATATTAAAATATTTAGTACCCATTGACAGTGTTCTTTTACAATGATATAGTTGATCTAAGTACCAACACATACAATTTGAATCATGCTAAACGTGCCGATTTGTTCCTTAAAATTATCAATTCCTATGTTAGGCGACTTTTTGGAGTTGCACGTATTTTTCCCTTTTACAAAGTATGTACCATTAAGATTTAGTATACAGTGTTCTACTTCTGTTGTGACATCATAATACTACTCTATATAGTATTTTCGACATAAATGTGTTTTCTGAAGTAACTGAAATGGCAGTAGTTAATCTTCATTTACGTGGATAAAGGTCCTGTGTATACAAACAATATCGCCCTGAAAGAAAAATTAAATCCTCTATTGATTATGCTAACGCATAAAGTTCAGTCGTGAATTTGAAGGAACGTCGGCAATTAATATCTCGTAATTTTAACTGAACAAATCGCCGAATCGAACAAGTTTAAGTAACTTAATCGAGAGAAATAAATTAAAATACAATAAGTATACGCTTATATTGTCCAATATTTAATATCACTCAGTGTTATCGTGTGATAAAACTTGATACAGAACGTTCTACAAGGTTGCTGATGGAAGATTGATCGTTTTCTGTACCTTTTTGTAAAAATACCAATTTGTTCACAGATGTTCGCTTTATCAGTTGAACTAACTGATATAGTTTTGCAAAAGAAAGAATACACGGTATGATGACGTTGCGATTTTAGTTCCAAAGATATTGAATTTTTGTTTCGCTTATTTTCTAATTTATACATTAAATTTTTGTGTTTTAATTTACTTTCATACCTATTTTATAGAAACTCAATATTCGTTATTCATGTACAAATAAACTCAATTTTTGCGACTGCTGTGAACAGAAAACGCTATTGATTTTGTTTGCCGTCTCCCTGTCTGCTCTTCCAAACATCAGAAACGGTAAAAGAACAAACTTTTTTCTTCATAAATTCGACACCTCAATCTGCGACACAACAGATTTAGAAGTGGTTCAAAAATCAAGTAGTGTGGAACAATTGGCGATTTGAAGGTTTATAATATTAATGTTTTCGTAAAGTCGAAACAAGCAAAAATTTTGTGCATAGTCGATTTCGAGGTATTGGTGATTAATTTACACAAAACGAATTCTCTTCCACCACTGAAGTGTTAGGATTTCCTGTATCACTAGACCATACAGTACGGTCTGGAAGTTACTTATGGAATGAAAAACTTACCAAATGTAATTCAAAAATGAAATGTCTTTTCGAAGTTGTTCTTAGGTTTGTGAATAACTTTTGAGCCCAGAGGTCATGTATTTTTTAATGGAGTGCTATGGTATCCACTAAATTCAGATTTAATAGCATTGCCTTCAGATATTAAAAGACAAATAAGTGTTTTTTGTCAAATATTGAAGGACCATTCTTGTTATGACCAGCTACATCGACAGATTTAAGCCTATTATTTTCCATTACATTAATTATATCTATTGTTTTCGTCATGATATGACTCCATATACATGTATTATATAAATTTCAAATAGGAGCATAATAGTTGTAATTGTAAGTGTCAAGTTTATCAAATAGTCGGTGATGCATAGTTGAGCGTTTAATGTGATGTTTGAAAATTGAATGAAATACTTGATTTTGTGGAGATTTGGAACGTAAAGTTTAGTTATTTAGGAACTAGAATTTTTCACCGTAAAAATTGATATGGCTTTATCATTGCTCGTACAAGCCCTTTTTGGAACTACCTTTATAAACCCCAGTACCTATGTTATAAATTTATGGACTATTTTATCGCTACTTGACATTATGACTTAAAAGTTACCGTAACAATCACATGAACAACGTCAAAAAGCACGTTTCAGCAAATCCGTTTACTAGTTCGGACATTTTGTAAAATTTACCAATTTTTAATTACCAAATTTTTCCACAAATATTTTCCACGCCGTATAATTTATTATAATTTCAGAGAACTAACCAGCTCATTTTTTTTGGTTCAAATTCACAACTGGTCCATTTGAAACATAACAATCCAACTCTACGTTCTCTCACATTCTATCGAATTATATCTCTATAATTTCAGTCATATTTCTTCTTGTCTGTAAACTTATGACAGTCTTTTGATTTTCTCTTATTACACGTAAAAATCGAGCGATCACGTTTGCAGTCTTTTTTATTGTACGACTCTCCCGACGACGAAGCCTAGATCCTGGTGGATCTATCCCAATCCGGATGCTAGTCACTCTCCGGCGGTGAACTTGGCTCCGGGCTGATGTAGTGCGGGATTTGGATTCCTCCGTTTACCGGTTCCGGAGTCCACGGACTCAAATCGGAGTCTCCCTGCAACAACGAGACGACTTTAACGTGAACTGCTTCCGCCCACATTGCATATGTTTATTCGATACGAGGGCTGCTCAAATTTAAATTACAATTTAATAGTTATGTTACAAATTTGAACCTTCCTCGTACATTTCAAACTACTACTGCTTTGTGGTTTGTGTGATCTGTAGCTATTGCGTTACGGTGTCTATAGTAAAAAATATCGTTGCGCTAAAGCGATATTTTTTATATAGGTCGAAGCTTATGTCTACAGGTGCTTAAATGTATAAGATAGTAAAAGAACATGCTGTGTACACCACTTACATATAATATTTAATTACCATAGAGCTATCAGGGTGGGCTGGTACGGGTAGGGGTGGTTTGAGAAGCGATATGTCAGCTCTAGGTGGGTCCGGGGGTGGGGGGACAGTGGGGTTGCCCACCCACAGGGGTATCCAGCCGCAGCAAAGGTCGAGCGTCGCCCTCCTCAGCCCCCTATGTAGCACCAGGAACAGCGTGGGGTTGACGATGGCGTGAACGTATGATATGTGTAGGGTTATCTGGAACACATATGGTATATTTTCCATTGTCCTGTCAGCTAATATCCGGGCAAAACAGAACAAGGCCGACTTTACTGCATGATTGTGCTAGGAGCCATGAGAGATAGTGCCCTTAGGGATTTAGTAAGTGGAAAAGTTTCTAATATTGGACTGTAATAGTATCGGAGTGTTTAATTCGAATCGTAGGGAAATTTTTGAATAAAAAGTTATGAAATACCTACTATAAATTAAGCGAAGTTTTTGCGCGAAGATACTGGCGAAACTCAAAACTAACCCGAGGGACTTATTAGAAGTTTCATTTATTCACCCTTTGTCACTGTGACGAAACTAAGCCCATAAGCTTTTTTTCATAGAATTCATATAATTCCTTTTTCGCAATTTTAGAGGTCGTGGTTCCGTTGTTACAGAGTTACACATTTTATTTTATTTAGCAAAATGTGAAATGTAATCGTTTGTTACAAGATTTTAAGTTGGAACCGCTATAAATTCTAACAAATCGTCCATATCGTGATATTTTAGTTGAAATTAAGAGTTTTTTTTTTTGTGATTAGCTCGTACTAAGTAGATTTGTATAATTTCTAAATTTTTAAATTGCATTTTAATGAAGTTGTGAGACGCAATAATTATTATAAAGCCATTTTCTTACATGATATCTTCTTACAAAAGCCTTATTTTTATAAATATATGATGTGCCTCAAGGACCCATGTTAGGTCCGTGTTGTTGTAACTTATTGCAATGATTTACCTGATTTTATTTGGGACGCTTGTATTGTACTTTATGCAGACGATTCAAATACTGGATTGATTGTTGGTAAATAAACTAAACCTTAATAAAGACAAAACTGTTGCATGATTTTTAATTTAAAGGAGTCTGTAAAATATGTAATTAAGAATCCACAAGATGTCAAATTTTTCGGAATATACAGGCTGGTCCTCGATGTCTCATTAATTAAATTAAAGTTGTATGGTTATTTAAGTAACGTGCATTAAAATTATTTTTTATTATACCCAAGTATTTTGTTTTTGAGGAATGGTATACTTGTTTTTTTTTTAAATGAATATCCTATATGTTTTTACATATTCTTATTGGCCCCTTCCTAGGCTTTAAAACCGTAGTCTACTTTTGAAATGCCAGTGCGACGTTGCCACGTTATTCCAATTTTCTTGAATTATTTTAGCAATGCAAGGGTTCAAAATAAATGCAATCTTTGTTGCAGTATTGTTTGGAGAGATAAACAGAGGTATGTGCTTTGGTTTGGAATCAATTAAATACAATTTTAAAATACAGAGTGTTTAAAAAAATCTAAAATATCACAGTTTTCAAATACAGATATTTTAGTTTTTTCCAATAAAATACTTTTTATTTTATTACCGTATCTTACTCTACTTTTTTGTTCTCCTTCTTCCAGTATGTCGGTGCGTCTCTTCAAAAAGTAGAAAATCTCAGTAACTAGCTATTAACTTAAACATGGAAAATACTTAACATGAAAAATAGCGTGTTCTATTTGAAAAAAACTGAAATATCGATATTGAAAATTCTAATAATTTTTTTTTTTTATAAACACTGTATTAAGTTTCAATTTTATTTATGCCACAACAAAGCGCGTACCATTATTAATTCCTTTACACAATATTGTAACGCGTATTTTAAAAGTAATTTTTTTGTGAACCCTTCCATTACTAAAAAAATTCAAGAAAATTGGAACAACATGGCAATTTAAAAAGTTAACAATAATTATTATAAAGCTTAAGAAGAAGTTAATCAGCTATCAAAAATATATAGTTTTCCATTTGAAAAAACTCAGTTGTGTTATACATACCTTAAAAATGGCCGAAATTTTTGTGGGGGAGGGGAATATTGAAAAATTTTGATTTTGAAAAATTTGCCTAAAAATCCACAACAAATCTAGGATATAGATTTCAACGTGTTGATTCCAAAAATATAGCGTGTTTATGGTCTCGGTGCAAGATTTTCGAAATATTCGGTTTGGAATATAATTTTGTAAAAACATCCATATTTCAATGAGCGGTTCTGGAAAAATTGCATCAGTTATCGAAGAAATGAAGCCGAATGTAACTTCTGGAAGTCGTAAACTACAAGTGTGTAGTTATGTTTCGAAGGTAGTGGAGAAGAAAGAGTATTAAAAAAATTTGCTTTTGAAAAAGGTGCCTAAAAATCCATAAAAAATTCTGGAATATAGATTTCGACGTGCTGGTTCTAAAAATGTTGCGGGTTTATGGTCCCGGGGAAATATTTTCGAAAAATTCGGTTTGATTTTTTTTTTAATCTTAAAAATTGACATTTCAATGGGTGATTTTGGAAAAATGGTAAAAGTTACCGAAGAAATGAGGCCGAAACTCATTCCTAGAGGTCGAAATATACAAGAAAACGTTCTAGTTAAGTTTTGAGGGTGTTCGAAACATCGTTGAAATTTTCATAAATGAAAAATTTTGTCCAAATTCTTACTGTCTTAATAAGTCTATTTATTATTTAAAAGTTACGGTACGAATTTTTTTCTATTTCAATTTTTCTATTAAATTTTGTAATTTAGAAAATCAGAGCCCAGGATTATTCTTAAGACGTTAAAAATCGTATACTAGAAAAGTCTATTATTATCACACGACTTCAAGTTGGTAAAACGAACCGCTTGCGGCGAGTTTTTCACAAAGAACGAATGTGACAATGACTTTATATAACACATTTTTCAGTATTAAGGAAATTTTGTATTTTAAAAGTATCATCAAAATAAATCTAGTTATTTTTTTGTCGAATGTTGGTAAACCGAGCTCCGACAAATGACAAATTGACGTTAAATTAAAACGAAATAAGATTTGTGTTCGCGTTCTTCTTACCTAGTTCTGGATGCTTTGAGCAGCTGAGCAGGTGTGCATATTAAATCGGGTTTGAGATGAAATGTAAGTTTACGTTATAGATTTCGTGGAAATGTAAAAAATCTGACTTGTTCCACAGTGACAAGTGTCAGTTATCTGTCAAATTTGAATTATCCCACATTAAGAAGTCTGGAATACCAACCCACAAAACAATGCTTTAAAGCATTGTTTTCAGCTGAATAACCCGGGTTTAATGTGGCTGTAAAGACACAGAATAACAAAAAATTGTTAATAAATAAGGCATTTTGAAATAATTTTAGTGATATTGTTTATTTTAATTTGAAAATTTGAAAAAAATACTTTTCCTCTTTTGTCTTTTCCTTTTTTCTTATTGATGGAATTTTCATTAAGTAAATATTCTTAGCACTTGTAATTGCGCTGTTCCGGATCTTTAACATATTTATGAAAGACACAAGATTTGCATAGTGATTTGAACTTTTAACCCGAGCATTGTTAAGACTGGTTTTTATGAACGACTAGTAGATGTGGCTAAAATTAAATGTCATCAACACAAAATATTCGAAAGATTTACCGCTTTCTTAATCGCTTTAACTTTAGCACAAAGGAAGCTGTCTGGTGGTAAATTAAACTCACCTCGTGTCCGAGCGGATTTCCTACAATAGGGTGGTTGACGAGTGTGACGAAGAAAAGTGGACCCCAGAAAAGGACGTAGGCGGCTGTGATAACGAGAAACATCTTTACTCTTTGGACGCCATCGCGTTCCATTCTCCGGAGGTATTCGCGCATCCTCCGGTGTTCTTCCAGGGCCCCGGAAGCCTAAAATGCGAACGATAGTTGACTTTAACAAAGGATTCCCTGTCGAGATACAACACAGTAATGCAGACTATTTTTTGGGAATGTGTGTATAGTGAGGTGGATAATAATTGATTTTGTGGATAATGCATGATTTATTACGCGTTTTGACTAATTTATTTGGAAATCCGTTATCTGCGACAAAATGCCGTCATAAACGAAATTTACGATAGTTTAAAATGTATTGGAAATAGTCGATTCAAGTTCGTAACTTTGTTTTTTTCGAGTTTCGCTTTTATGTTTTCCGGTAGATAAAAATCTTGCCGAATAAAGGGGAAAGTACGTTCCAAGTTTTGTTGATACGTGGAAGCAAGTTTTTGAGAGAAAGCTGGGTGATTGGTTAATTTCGAAATGTTCGTAAGGAACTCGATGTGAAGCCTAATACCAAAGAATATGCAGACGCTTTTTTCGAAGAATAAATGAGCATTTAATTTTTTGTTCGACATAGCGGAGCTTGGAGAAATTTTTCACGAATCTTTTATTTATGGCGAACTCCAGTGGAACATTTTAAATACGATTTTCTTAGCAAAATTTTAATGACGTCATCATTTTTTTTGTGAGGATAGACAGATAAATTTTAGTGAACGTTGCACCAGTAATCTGGTTAGAAATTTCGGAAATTACTTGTCTAATCGAATCGGCAACAGATGTCAGAAGGACGAAAATGGAAAACCTACTTTTTCATATTCTAGAGGAGAACATATAAAATTATTCATTCGTTAAATGTATTATTTAGCCCTTTCTTTCATAAGAATATTTTTTAATTGATGTTTCTTTATATTGTAATACATTCATTTTTACAAGTATCACATTTTTAAAACATTTTTTTGGAGGGATAAAACCGAGTTTTTGAAAGCGCCTTCATCTTCGTACGGTTGGAATTGAGAAATCTTGCGAGAAATCATTTAACTGAAATCGTCAATTACTCAACTTGTTTATCTTAGAAGATTCATGTTATCTCTCGAGCAGTTCAGAGATCTACGATGAATCGGGAAAAGTGATACAAATTTAACAGTCTATGGCCTTTAAGAACTCGGGCTTAGTTTTAAAATCCAGCGGAGGTAAATGTAAGAGGCGCGGTTATTTATGTAAACGTTGCGAGGTGTTCTAAGGGTGGCGCGTTAATTATGCACATGATTGTACAAAAGAGCTTAAATTTATGTTTCCTGAAACAGTAACGTTCTCCGCATTAAGTCCGTTCGGATGAATTGTTCTGAAGAAGTCGGTGAAACGAAGCAACAAAGGTTTTAAACGCACTTGTTTCCTTGAGAATGATGAAAATGTTCCACAGTGCGTGGATTCGAGCCGTCTGAAGCAAACTACCCGTATGAAATATTTTAAAGGCACTTTACATGCTCGATCGGTGCTAAAAGTAGAAAAACCTGAACCGCAAAACCGACTCGTAGCAGCGCCACTAAATATTTATCAAGTCTGGCGCTCTCATTTTTTTTATATTACTTTTATCCGGGATCTTCCGGTTTCGGCGTTACGCGATATAAGCAACATAAGTATGCTATCATCTAAGCCGTTGTTATAATTTATGCAACAGGACTTAAGAGTATGAGTACTTTAAGTCCTGGTAAGGCATAAACCATCTCGTTGTGAGTTATAACGAGTGGGTTCATTACGCCAAGTAGATGGCTAGATGGGTCGTATGTTTCCTTAGGGCAATAAGGCTTAATTTATATTAAAAGTTTTGTCAGCGGTGGACTGATGTGACTTTTTACCATTGAATTCTTGAGAAGGGTTGAACTGAAAATGGCTTAATTTTTGTTTAGTAAAAAGTTAACAACATCCTGTCGGCTAGCTTAAAGACTTGTGTAAACAGGTGGTTGTTAGAAATATGTTTCAATAAATAGTTTTTTTTTCGAGAAAGGAGTAAATTTTTTGTCGGATACCACATTTTGGATGTAGTTTAAATTAGGCTGGTTTAACTGGTTTAATGATCGAATCACACAATTTTTTTTGTAAATTGGATATTGGATGTAAAACAGGATATTCAAAATAATACATTCATTTGACGAAATATATCAATAGTTCGCAAGAAAGGGCTTAAAAACAATCATTTGTAATTTTGGTTTGGAAAAAAGTTCTGTGTTTTACGTATAAAAATTATAGTATTTAAAATTCTTGTACACCTAAGAAGTTGGTAATAAGTTCTACCTTATGCTCTTTCAGAAATTCCTCAGAAAATATCTCAGATAATTATTATTGTTTGCATCATATCATATCATACATGTAAAAGTGTTATACTGTTTTGATGTAATAAAAAAAAAAAAAATAGAGAGTCTTTAAAGTACAAAAATATTTTCTTTAAAGTGAAACTGGAGTTCTGAGGAATTTAAACTTTCAATTATCTGACCACCCTGTATACATAACTAAACTTAATTTGAACAGAATTTCCTTCTTTAACGTCGTATATACTAAACTCACTTGACATACAGGTAGTAAACATTTTATGACTTAAGCGGCTTAAGCCAAATCACCCTTATAAGTTAAACTGGCTATTGTATAACTTAATTCAGTTGATATATACCTAGTAAAACTTTGCAGCTCCATTATGACAACAATGGACAGTAATAATCTTTGCGGTTCGGATCCACAAAGCTTACAGTACCTAATTTCACTTCTAACGGTGGTTTGGCTTAAGTTGTTTAAGTCATAAAAGTTTTACTAGGTATATGTGAAGTGAGTTTACTATATATGTCATTTGAAACCATTCGGCAAGCTTCGGTAGACATCGGTAGTCCCAGAATAATAGAAATTATAGAAAAATTCCAAACAATGCTCTGAGTCACATAATAATAGGTCAGTTTTTAATAAACAGGATGCACAGTTAAATAACTTTATATTTTTTAAAGAATTTGCAACAACTCTGTAGGGTTTAGGTCGTTTTTAAGAATTTGAAAGCCTTTTGGTTTTGGTGTTTTTTTTTTCGAAACATAAGAAAACCGTGAGAACTTTTGGTGTTTTATTTGTTTGAATAATTTGAAAATATTCTGGCTAACTCTCACTTAAAATTGTATTGAAAACAAAACATATTGAACAGCAGAAGCTTTAAAAGAACAAGGTAAAAACTGAAATGCTGTCACGAAAACTGAACGAACGGAATAATTAATTTTGCCCGGCGCATCCACCATTTGTGAGATATTTCTTGTGAAAAAACTGAAAAAAACTAAATTAAATATACTGTGCTAAAATGTGATATATAAGTTATTAAAATTTAGCATGAATCGACATTATTAAAAAGTAAAAATCCTAAAAAATTAGGCATTTGGAGGCAACAATATGTAATAAATAACAGTAAAGTGAGTAGAAATTTCAAAAATCTTATAGCCAACTAATTGTTTAGGTTTAAAATTTTAAAATATTTAGTGTAATTTCTAAGAAAATTAAAACCAATAAATCTAAGACCAAAATAGTGGAATGTATTTATTTTGAAAGTTTAAATAAATAAACATGTTTTGAAAAAAAGCGAAATTTGTGTCAAATGTGAATTTATCTATTTCGATAAGAGTTAATATACATGTGATTGTACGTCAATAGTACTATACAGGGTGAGCCACTAAGTGCACTTTCCTTGATATCTCGTTAATCATTAAAAATAAAAAAATAGGGATCAAAGGTTGTTTGACTGGCAAATATTGAAATTATTTTCAGCTGACAGTCCAAAGGTTCCCAAGAAAATCGCAATAGTCATTTTTTAAATCTGTGTTACAGTAATATGTGACAAGATAAATCAAGGTACGTTTTTTGTTGTGGTATAAATTATATTGATTCTTAATATAAAGGGTGTTTATAATATTTTTTTTATATTACAATTTTCAAATATCGATATTTCAGTTTTTTTCAAATAGAACACCATATATTTGATTATTTCAACTGTTTTCTTTTTTGTTAAATATTTTCTATCATTAAAGTTGATGGTTTCTACAATTTTTGAGTTTTTTTAGAGACATACTGACATATCGCAAGAAATAAAATAAAAAATAGAGGCAGATGTAGTAATAAAATATAGGGTGTTCTACTAAAAGAATTGAAATGTCAATATTTGAAAATTGTAAAGTGTCAGAATTTTGTATGGACACTCTATACAATAAAATTTGATTTATCTGATAGCACAACAAGGCGCATATCTCTGTTCTTTCTTTTTCTTTCCATAAAATATTGTAATAGAAATTATAAATGAAACCCTATTGAATATATAGGGTGTTATATTAAAAAAAAACAACACTGTACAGTTGAAAATAAATAGGTAAATACGGAAGCCTGTACGTGAAAAATACCATACGATAAAAAAAGCCTCTAATGGGCCATGAAATAATTTTTTTATTTTTAAAATAATTATGCTGGCGCCATAGTTATTTGACATTTTATTTGATACTTATTTGACCGTAAATATCAAAATTAAAGAAGGATCATGTTGGTGTTACTAACATCATTATTACAAAAATAAATTTCATGACCTACTAGAGGTCATTTTTCCATCCTATGGTATTTTAACAATGTGGTGATGTAACCAGAAAACAGGACACTAGTATCGGTTGTACATAAAGTCACCAATAAGCATAGTTTCTTAAAAATCGACGGTTTTTAGACTCTATTTGGTAATTTTGATCTGTGAATGATCGATCGTGTGTATTCTGTGCCAAGATATGTAAATATTACAAATACGTATGTATTATGTATTAACTTAGCAATTTATTTTAACCTCAAAATATGTTGACAATATATGATATGCATATAATTGACAGCTTTCTATTGTGATTAACACAGTGCCCGGAAATATGCATAAATACGAAAGTGTAGTACAAAAATGTAGGTTTTCCGTTTCCCAATATATGTATTTGCGGCATGTCTGCTGATGATTTATTCGACAAACAAGCAAAATATTGGCACTACATACTCTCAGACTGACTTCTATATTACATAACACAAAAGCATCTTTATTTTATTGATGACGTAATTTAGAGCAAAACTTACGAAAATAATTTCTTCGATAAAGAGCGTTGCTGCATACAGTAATTTAAAAAAGTAAAAAAAAAAATGTAATCTTATTTACATCGAACCCGACGCTTCTGAAATACAATTGGTTGTAGTTCGAGAGCCACGAAAATTCGTAGTAAATAGCTTAATTTTTTTTATTTGATCCACTTCCACCCGGTCTTCCGGTTTCGGCGTTGTAGCAACGTAAGTACGCTGTCATCTAAGCCGTTGTTATAATTCGTGCAACAAGACTTAAGAGCACGAGTACTTTAAGTCCTGGTAAAGCACAAACCAGCTCGTTATGAATTATGGCGGTGCGTTCATTACGCCAAGTAGATGGCTAGACCATGTGTTTAGATGTCGTCTGCAGATGATGAGTACGTGTAGCTTAATTACCCACCCGCTCCCCGTTTGCGTTGGTCCCCGCAGCGCCGCCGCCCCCTGTCACGTTCACGAGGGTGGTGACTAACCCCGCTACCCTTACGGCCTCGACGTTCGCCTTGGTCAGGTCCCGATGCAGCTTCCTCAAGTGGAAGAGGGTCAAAAATACACAAACTAAATTTACCGCGATCCAGAGGGCGTTCAATATGTAGTGTCTTAAGGGGCCGTGGATCAAGGGACAAGAAGGGGCTTTGTGTCCTGCTTCGCCTTGAGCCGCCAGAGCACCTGAAAGTCAACACACGCTCGAGTTAGTCTTATGGGGGGATTTCATCAGGGGAGGGACAGGTATATTAGAGAAGTGTGATTGTGTACTCAATTAAAAGTGAGCTTGGAGGAAGCCAGCGAAAATTAATATATAACCTGTGCTTGTGTTTATTTGACTGCACACTGTTAAATAAAATTGTTTTATGGGTTTTTTACAGAAAGTAAGCAAGGGTTATTTTTTAAATTACTCAATTATTATTATACAAAAAAAAATCACAAACGTTAATTAGGTCGTCTCAAGTTTTCCTTAGTTATTTGAAAACTGGAACGAACAATTTCTTTCAAGTAAGTTCGAACTGAAATTTCCACATAAATGTATTGTATAGTAAAGTCGCTGTTCCGCTACTACTTCTACCCTCCGTAGTTGTATGAGCTGAAATTCAGTTCGTGTATCTACCATAGTTACACTTGAAGTAAATTTCAAGATGGTTAGTAAGAACATATGTACTCCCTTCTGAAAGCACCATTTGTGTAATAGAATCTCGTAGTGTAACAGATGTGTACATAATTGAATTAAGTTATTCACTGGCCGAAGTCTACTGTTGAGTTCTTCGTTCGAACGAATTCCCGTTGTTTGCAAATACCGCAGTCTCGACCGCTCTTGCGTAACTCACCGGATAAGAATGTAGGTCCCAGGTTTATGGTGATGGAGGCGAACCAAATCATAAAAGTGCCGAAAAGGACGCACTGAGGCGAGTCCATCAGGAGCGGGACGTCGGACAGGGAATCGGAATCGTCGTCTTCTGGGAAAACCGGAGAGTCGTTCAGTACCGTGGTCAGCATGTTAACAGTGGCCACTGTGACCAAAAGAAGGAAGGCAGTTTCCACTAGGGAGCATTTCTGGACCGGCTGGCAGTGGAGTATCGAAATTCCTAAAGGGAGTAACAGCGCCGCTCTGGCGCAGTCGACTGCCCCTTGATGGAATAGTAGACCCTGAGACCATCTAAAACAAGCAAAAAATCGGTGATAAAGTGCTTTTTAAGGAGTTTGCCGTTAGTTAAGGCTCGACCTGTCTCAGATGAAATAATCATCTAATTTATTACGCACCCTAGGCGACTGCCACGGTAAATGATTGTTCATTTTGAAATCTAAATTGCTTTATCAGTCATGGCAAATTATTAATTCGTTGCAACGTGTAATTTTGAAACTTGTGCGAATATTAAATGGGGCCAAACTTTTTGGAAGAAGTGTTAGAATACTTAGTTATGATTGTTCAGTCAAAGTAAGCATTCGCTTTGTTCGTAAGAATTATTACCGGCGTTACAAGTTTTAGGAAGAATTAATGTTCGCTCGACCAGTATGCGGAAAAATAATACTCCTATATTTTTTCTCACCTGCGACATGCGATGTTCCACGTGTTTCATGCAAAAAGGGAATTTATGATTTTTCAGTATATCGACTGAACAAGCAGTTTAAGGTTCAAGAGAAAACGAAAATAAAATTCTATGTGGTTCCTCAATGGATAAAGGATGCTTAAAACCGCAACATTGTTAATATAGAGGAGATAAAAGTTTTTACACATCAATGTTTGAAATTTCCGCAGCGGCCAACAATCTTGTTAATCCCTATAAAAATTTAATGTGAAGTTTCTCAAAACTGTATTTTATTTTTTATTTTCCGGGAGGAGTGATTATTTTATATTGTTGTAACACTTCAAAATTCACAGAATTAAAAGACCATTCTATCTTAAGGTGGCTCCGCAAGTGTCCTGTTTTATTTCACTGCCGTTAGATGTCCGTCCGACCGTAGTCCTCCAAAGAGGAGGAAAATATTGATCTCAGAGATATGACAACAATTAAATTAATTTTTACCACAACTTTTCAAAAAAAAAAACTATGAACTATGATACATCAATGAATTCAGAAAAAAAAACTACAAAAATCTGTCAATCAATCTGTCTGGATTGTTAAAGTACAGGTAAAGATATGTTTCTAGTGAGCTTTTCCATGTACCAAAGGATTACGTGTTAATAAAACATCAAATGATCGCGATTTTATTCACCAGCTCTAACAACTTTTACACGTACTTTGCTGCACGAAACTGACTTTTAAACAAGTGCGAAATCCAATAATTTTCAATTTGTTTTTGCACCAACTGCTGCAAACGTTTTCCGCAATTTTCTAAAATTGCTCCCATGCAAACGCAGCGTGGCGTTTTGATGATGAGATTTTCCGCAGTACTAAGCTGGAATTTTAAATAAACGCATTGTTTAAATTTTGTTTGCGAAAATTATTTCTCGCATGTTTACACGAGTGTTATCCGCGACGGGTATTTGCTTTCACAACTTGCAAACTTGTTCCATTCTTACTTCCGTACTCACGTTAATGGTTTTATCTCCAGCCCCAATTTGCAAGAAACTGGGATTTTTCTGTCTTTTGGGTGGTTTTGGAGTTCAGAATGGAATTTCCACAGATTTATTTCCGTTACCATTTCACTTTCAACTGTAATTTTGTTTGTTTAAGCCTCAAATAACTGTTGATTTAGGAAAAGCGAATTGCCATTACTGGAATTGTAATTTCGCTATCGATTTCAGAACTGCGGCGAATTATTGTTGTAACAAACCGAGTCGTCTGAAGGGTGACATTTCCAATATCTTTATCAATGAAGTCCAGTGTTAGAAGATTTAAGTGATTTACGGCGGGGTCAGCTTTTCTGTTGACTCGTATTTTTGACGATTCCAGCAATTCAGTTGGTGTGATTTGCTGATTGGGAAGTCGCAGGAAATGTTTTTGATAGGAGGTTGTTACGGTTTGTGAAAACTAAATTGAAAGTATTACTCATCGATTTCACATATAGCGTTCCTAATGGCGTGAAAATATTTATTTTAGCTCAGACGTCGATAAATAAGCTGCATTTTAATATGTAATGTAACTGCAAATGGCTGGCTAGTTTTAGACCTGTTTAGTTATTTATTTATTTATTTATTTATTTATTTACATAAGTAGTAAATTGTAAATAAATAAATATATTTCTGAAGATCAGTATGGTCGTTGGTCAGTTACAATTAAAAAAAAATAAATAACCTGAAACATGGAAATTTATTTTTCGCGGTAATCAACTCTTTAATGTCCCCACCAAAAACAATCCGAATAATAATAGTGGATAGATTAAACTGGAGAATTGTGAGAAATGTACTGTGGCCGAAAAATGAATAAAAATTTGTTGCACAAGAAGAGATTATTATTGACAACCCACCAGATTGACATGCGCAGGGAAAATTTGACAGTTTGTCTTTATATTGTTATTATTATTATTGGTTCGTAATGTTTCGAAAATGTAATCAATTCATGAAGACGAACCTCCGGAACGAAAGACAAATAGTTAAACTACGTTATGCAGTAACTACATCTTTTTTTTAGATGTAAAACTTCAATTCAATGATAATTTTCAAAATAGTAAACGCAAAGAATTTTTTTATCGAGCTGTAAGTTTCATTCCGCAAATTGATCGCTGTGACGTCACGCCTATAGATCTGACACTAGTGGGACATTACAGTTTTACCCAAAGCGGAATGGGTAAATCGTGAACTGAATGTCTAGATTTCCTTGTGTGGTTCCATTTAACTTAATCAGGGTTTGCCTTGTGTCAATAGAATGCACAGAGTGTTTATTTTGGGACTGTCTCTCTTAAATTATTTATTTATGAAGATATATTGTGGTTATGTGGAAGCTTACTACTGGAAATTTTAACATATATAAAAACCAAATTTAAGTGAATAATCTAGTCTTAAATACAACCAATTTTCTTGACAATTTGTATTTTTATATTATCGTACGTTTTTTACTTCCGGAGCATAAGCCAAGGAAATACTGTAATCGAATCCATCGGGCGACCGCTACTTTTATGTTTTTTCGACGTTTTATGACCCCTAAAGTACGAAAAAATAGGTCTCCCGTTTCTGTCTGTCTGTTTGTCTGCCGTTTGTATGGATTTTTTTTAAACAGATAATGATCTTCGAAACTATCGGATCGATTGTTGTCAAATTTTCGTTGTATGTTACGGATAGCCTGTAGATGGTAAAACGCTAATCAAAATTTGTCTGCTCAATGCAACAATGAAATGACGTCATCACCAAATTTTGTCATCTTACAATTTTGTCGAATAAATGTTATTTAAATGTTAAATGGTTGTGAATTTGGGCTTTATGAATCCGTGTTGAATGTTTATCCTCGAAAATTGTAGATTTGGGATTTTCCCGTTTTTTTATTCTTCAATTTTTCGATTTTTGAAAGTTTCAGTTTCTGGATTTAAAATTTTTGGATTGCCCAATTTTTCTATAGTTCAGTGTTGGGAATTTTTGGGCTTCTCGATTTTTTAGTTTCCGATTTCTGAATTCTGCGATTTTTCAATTTATGGATTTTTGAATTTCTAAATTTTTTACGTTTCTAAATTTTTCGATTAATCGATTTCTTGATTTTTCCATTTCTCAATTTCTCGACATTTCAATGTTCGACTTTTCAATTTTTCAAGTTTTTGAATTTTCAATTATTCGATTTTTTAAGTTTTCGATTTTTTGGCTTTTCGACTTCTCGGTTTTTCATTTTTTTAATTTTTTGTAGTTTTTCGATTTTTCTATATATCGAGATTTCGATGTTGTGATTTTTTGATTATTGGATTTTTCGATTGATAGATTCTTTTAATTTAAAATTTTCCGATTTTTAACTTTTCGGTTTTTCGATTTTGGCTTATTTCAATTCTTCAATATTTCGATTTTTCGACTTCTGCACTTTTTGATTTGTCGATCTTTTGATGTTTCGATTTATCGATATTTCAGTCTTAAAATTGCGCTTTTTCGATTTCTGAGTTTCTTCGAATGTTCAATTTTTCGATTTTTAAAATTTGGATTTTCGATTTTTCAATTTCTCGATTTCTCAATTTTTCGGTTTTTCGATTTTTAGACTTCGATTTTTCAATTTTTCGATTTTTAGACTACGATTTTTCAATTTTTCGATTTTTCCATTCTTCAATTTTTCGATATGTATTTTAATTTTTCATTTTTTTAAATTCTATATTTTTCGATTTCGCGATTTTTCAATTCATCGATATTTCCCTTTTTCAATTTTTCGAATATTAAAATTTTTTGTTTTTCAGTTTTTTCATTTTTCAATTTTTTTAGTATTTAAATTTGATATTTTTCATTTTTATGATTTTTTGATGTTTCGATTTCTTGACATCTCGGGTTTTCGGTTTTTAAAATTTTTTGACTTTTCGATTTATCAATTTTTCAACGTTCGATTTTTCAGTTTTTCGATTCTTCGTTTTTATTTCATTTTTCAGTTTTTCGATATTTTAGTTTTGGGATTTTTCTATATTTCTATTAAATTTTTCGATTTTTTAGTTTTAAATTTTTCAATTTTTCGATGTTGCGATTTTTCGATTTTTCGGTTTTTTCGATTCTTCAATTTTTCACTTTTTTAAATTTTGGATTTTCGATTACTCAGTTTTGCAGTTCCTTGATTTTTCCGTTTTTTTCTTTTTTAGACTTCAATTTTTCGATTTTAAATTTTACATTTTTGAATTTATCAATTCTTCGGTTTCTTGATATTTCGGTTTTTTGATATTTTGCTTTCTCGATTTTTCAATTTTTCCGTTTTTCAATTTTTCCATATTTTAATTTTTCCATTTTTTAAAATTTAGATTTTTCAATTTTTCAGTTCTTTGATATTGTTATTTTTCAATTTTTCGTATCTAATATTTTTTCTAAGTTTTCTGGTTTTCAATTTTTCAATTTTTTCAATTTTACGATTTTTTCGATGTGTCGATTTCTTGACATAGGGGTTTTTCGGTTTTTAAAATTTTTAGACTGTTCGATTTTTAGATTTATCGATTTTTCAAGTTTTCGATTTCTCAATGTTTCAACACTTCAATTTTGGAAACTTTCCAATTTCTGGATTTTTTAATGTTTCCATGTTTTAATTTTTCGATTTTTTGATTTTCGATTTC